AGGGCGGCCCGCCAGGGCCAGGTGGTGCCGCCCGCTGCTGCCGCGGGGAAGCGCTGATAAGCCTCAAACCCGTCGGGCGGGCTCCTCCGGCTCTCCCGGGTGAGGGCGGCTCTGGGTCGCGGCAGGAAGAAGGGGCAGCGATGCCTCCCATGTGCCACCGTCGGGTGCCCAACACGGCTCCAGGCACAGACCATCTCCGGCACCTGCTCCCGCAAGGGGCGCGCTGGGGACCCCCGGCCTGTGGTTCTCCCCACTGCATGCTGCAGCGGTCAGTGCTGCCACGGGCCTGTTCTCTGCCACCTCCTTGCCCATAAAGTCCCTGTGCAGGGCCAGGTCCACCGGGGTGGGTTAGAGGCTGGGCAGGCAAGCTGAGGTGCCCTTTCCACCAGGATGCAGCCCGGGCCTGCCCAGCGCCCACAGACATCACTGGTGTCACAGCAGCAGGGAGCGCTGGGGCAAGCATGCTCTGGCACAACATCCGCATCTAACGCCTTCCTTCCAGCACCTGGATCTGGGGGCGTTAGGCCATGGATCCCAGGCCCCGGTGTGCTGTGCAGCAAGGACAGAGGCTGGGCCGCGGTTGGATGAGGCAGAGCCTGGGGGGAGACGTCCAGTCCAGCCCCTGCTGCAGGCCGAGCTGCCCCGTCCGAGCCAGGCCAGCCGGGTCCATCCTGCCCGCAGGAACTTGCCCAGGCAGCCCCGTTGCGCACAGCCCACGCACGACATGCTGAGCCCCTGGCCCTACGGCGCAGCCATGGGGCCTACCTGTCCTGCCCCTGCGAGGCAAGAGGCAGCTTGTGAGAGGCACGGGAGAGCCTCTGCCTGCTCCCCTGCTGCAGGGCCAGTGAGGCCCCCAGTCTGTGCTGAGCTGCCCACCGGGTCGAGTTCTTCCCTGACCTTGACCCTGAGGGGTAGGAGAAGGGGCCAGACCCTCTCTCCAGGCCTCCCCGGGTGCTTAGGCCCCAGGGGCAGCATTGCACCATGGGGAGCACCGGGCTTCCCTCCAGGCCCCTGTGGAGCTTGCTGTGGAGCAGCTTGCCGGCGAGCACAGAACAACCCCACGAGTGTGCACGAGTGTTTATTGGTGATGTGCCACGCGCTGCAGGCAGCGCTCCGCAGCGAGGCAGGCACAGGTGGGGGTGGGGGCAGAGCTTGGCACAGGCAAGTGGCGGGGCCCAGGGATGCACTGAGGTATGTTCCTATTGCCCTCCATCCCGGCGGGAAGCCTCAGGGCCAGCTGGACCATGGGGAGATCCCACAGCAGTGGGCTGGGGGCCAGGACCTAATTCTGCTCTTGCTTCATTCTCGGGGTGGGGGGAGAGGGGTGTCTGTGGTGGAGCCATCCACACCACTGTGCCCAGCCCCTGCACAGCCCTGGGCGCGCGCACATCCCCCCGCCCGCCCGGCTCTCCCTTGCCTGCAGGCCAGTCTGCTCCTGGCCATCATGAGGAGATCGTGGGGATTGCAGGGACGCGGCATGGGCATGCTTCCCTGCAGCGCTCCCCCATGAACAGTGTGTCTGGGTGCCCACATGGGCTGGGGCTCTTGGGCGTGTTCCGGGGGGTGGCTGGGCCTGGGGCTCCCTGACAGGTGCTGCTGCACTGGCCCCTGGGGAGTAGGACCATCAGCTGTGGCCAGCGCGGGGCGCAGAGGAGCTGCTCTCGTGGGTCCCTGCTGCGTGCACAGTGCAGACCCTGGGCCAGGCTGCAGTGGCTGTGCCCCGCCGCAGTTTGTCCAGCCGGGCGCAGGCACCAGCTCAACTCGGCTCAGGGGCCGCGCGGCTGCGCCCAGCTGCTCATCAGCAGGTAGGACTGGTTGGCAATGTCTGTTGCAGGCATGGGCTGCTCCCCTGAGCCGGGCAGGCCCCAGGTCTCCTCAGCCTCTGTGTCCAGGGGAGTGCCGTGGGCCTGGAGGCTGCCGAGTCGCTTGTGTGGCGGGTGCTGGGCAGCGGCCCCAACCTGCGGGAGCCCCGAAACAGGCAGGAGCAGGGCAAAGCTGCCCAGGGGGGCGGTGTCGCCTGCACCGTCCAAGTACTCATTGCCGTAGTGGCTGCCAATGGGGCTGCCAGGGCGCAGCACCATGTAGTCCTGCTGCAGGGAGCCCAGGCTCCCGGCCTCTGCCGCCTCCTCCTCCTCCTCCTCTGCAGGGCTCACACGCACCCCCAGGCCTGGCACCTTCAGGGGGGCGGGCTCCACAGGGAGCTCAGCCCCGCTCCCCTCCGACATGATCTCTAGCAGGCAGGACAGGACCAGCTCCTCTGGGGGCTTGTAGAACAGCGCGTTGGCCTGGAGGGAGGCAGGGAGGGAAGGAGACAGCAGTGGGGGCCAGCCCCCCGCGCCCCCTCTGCTCCCTGCTAGAGGTTGCTGCACCACTGTCCCCCTGCCTCAGTGCCCCCCCATGCCCAGCCCTGTGCCCGGCAGCTGCCTGCTCCCCACCTCCCAGGAGGCCCAGTGGACTGGGGCAAGGGGCCGTGTGAAGGGCCGCACGAGCCATGGGGAGAAGCAACAGCCAGCGGGGCAGCTGGGGTGACTCCTGCCCCATCACTGGGGCAGCACTGGCCTGGTGGCAGCTCCCCCACTCTGTCGGCAGCGATGTGCCCTCAGGGCCCTGCCCGGGGCCTCCATGGACTGGGGGCTCCCCAAGGCACCATGGCAGCTGGGGCCCACCATGTCCCACGGCCCAAGCTGCAGCTTAGCCAGACTTGGGGATGGCGTCGCAGGCCGTGGGGCACGGCGCAGTCTGTGTGGGGGCTGATGTGGCCAGGGCGCTGGGCGGGAAGGGAAGGGAAGGGTGGGCCAAGACAGTCTGTGTCCCCCTGATGCTGCCCGAGCGGCAGGGCCTCACCTGGAGCTGCTTGCTGCTGTCGCTCAGGAAGCCGCCCAGGACGCGGTACAGATCCGGGACTGGTGGCCAGAGCTTCTGCTTCACGCTGCTGCACGATGGCACTGGGCTGTGACAGGCAGCCCCCCCGCGCGGGCCACAGCAGAGCCCCACTGCCCCCACCCGCTGGCCGAGCTCGGGCCATGGCAGAGGCTGCCTGGTGCCCCTCGGGCACTTTGAGGTCCCAGCGCCCAGCTTCGCTCCAGCCTTAGTGGAGACACTTTCAGCCCCTGGCCCCGCACCAGCCTCTGGCAGAGACCCCGGCTCTGCCAGGCCCTGGGGGGACACACCTGGCACCCAGAGAGCAGGGTCCACGCACCACAAAGTTGAGATGGGCTAAGTAGGGCGCTGGCCAGTGTTGCAGGAGCTGCCACTGGCGTCAGTGAGGTTGTTTGAAGCTGGGCACATGTATGTGTGTGCACATATGCACTGCATGCTGGAGGGGAGGCACCAGTCACCACAATGTGGGCACATGCGAGGGCTGTGTGTGCCCCTGCACAGGCATGTTCCCTGTGCCCTGGAGAATGTAGCTGGCTGCAGTGTCTGCACCCTATGGGCTGTGCCCAGGGGGGCAGAGCCAGGGGCTGGCTCTCGCATATGGGGATGGTTACCTGTACGCGGAGGGGAAGGTGCACCGCAGCGCCAGCAGGAGCCCCGTGAAGAAGAGCGGCACCGCAGCAAGGCTTGGGACGACCCAGCCTGGGCAAAGAGCAGAACCATGAGCCTCCCCGCTCCGCATCCCTGCCTGCCCACAGCCCCCCCGGCGCAGCCCCAACACGTGCCCCAGATCTCACCTGCTTCCGACGGGGCCTGGACCACCACAGCCTCCGACCAGGCGCTCCAGTAGCCCCCGAACTGCTGCCCGTTGGGCTGGGCACGCACCTGCAAGCGGTAGCGGGACCCAGCCCGCAAGTCTAGGACCTCGCTGTCTGCCGCGTGCTGGATCTGCAGGACCTGCGGGGGCCGCAGGGTGAGTGTGGGGCTCCAGGCGCTGCTGGGGCAGGATGAGGGCTGCAAGGGTCAGGGCCTTTCCCAACAGCTGTGCAGGGTGTTGGGGGGGCAGGCCCCAGGGACACCCCCAGCATATCCAGCTGTGTCCCGCAGCTGAGGGGACCTGTCCCAGGTACCTTCCAGTCCTGGCTGCTGTCGGTGGCGTAGCGGACCTGGTACACCATGTGCTGGGCCAGCTCAGCCAGCGGCACTGCCCACTGCAGCCACAGCCTCCCAGCGCTGACATTGGCCTGCAGGATCCTCGGCGGGGCCGTCAGCACTGCGTGGAGATGGAGCCCAGTCAGTATGGCCTGCCCTGCCCTGCAGATGCTCCCGACCCAGCCCTGTGGCCTGACTGCCCGGGGGGTCGGGGACCCTGGAGGGAGTGCAGCTGCGGCAGCACTCACCGGCCCGGTCCAGGTGGAAGGGTTCTCCAAAGTAGCTGCGCGCCGGCTGGGCATCCCGTGTGACCTTCACCATCATGGTCGTGGCACTGGCATTCCCCAGCCAGAAGGTGCAGGCATGGGCACCCTGGGGCCCGGTGCCTGCCTCCCCCTGGCAACGCTGCCAGGCCTCAGCCCTGGGGCACAGCGGGGCATCAGCCTGGCTCCGTGGCCCGTGGAGCCCCCTGGCCAGGCGGGGTGTTCCAGTGTACAGGGACGCCACTGGTGTGTCTCTGGAGGGGCCACGTGGCCTGTCCCTGGTATGCGGAGGCATCTGGGGACGTGTGACCCACCCCAGCAGCCTGTCCCTGTGGGAAACCAGGGCTGCCACCTCTCAGACCCCGGCACAGGCAGGGCACAGGTCCCTGCGGGCTGCTGGGCCCAGATGGAGCAGGTGCGGGGTCAGGGCAGCGGCCCTGGGGTGGGGTAGAGTGGGCCCTGGGCGTTACCTGGGGGGGCCTGGGCTCTCATGGGGCTGGTAGAAGAGTGTGTGGGAGCCATTGGCATCAGTGGGCGCTGGGGTCCACTCGCAGTGCACGCGTTGCAGGTCGGGTGTGGAGCAGCGCAGCCCGAACTCCTCTGGCCGGACACAGCTGGTCGGTCAGTGCTTCGGGGTGGGGACAGCTATGGTCTCCTCCAAGCCTCCGTGTCCTCCCCCACAGCGGTGCCAGGGTCACTAGTTTTCCCCACAGTCCCAGCAAGCTCAGCGCAGGCCCCCACCCCTGGATCCAGGCCTGGCACATCCCACCCCTGCCCCCCACCACATGCCGCACGCCCCGGACCAGGGAGCTGGGGAGATGCGCAGCACCAGGGCCTTGGCCCCTGCATCTCCTCACCTGCAGAGTGGGGCGTCTCGGCGAGCACTGCAGGCGACCAGGGGCCCCAGGTCCCATTCAGGGAGGATCCATCTGGTTTGGTGCACACCTGGATGCGGTAGGTCTGCCCAGGGCGCAGCGCGAGGACGCAGGCTGTGCTGCTCACCAACACCTCCTACAGTGCAGGGTCGTGGTGACGGGTGCGGGGGGAACCTGCCCGTGCCGCTCACCTGGAGTTACCCCAGCCCCACGCCTGGGGCCATTGCCGGCAGCGCGGACTCGGCCAACCCTAGCCCCAGCCCCAGCCCCAGCCCCACACAGGCCAGAGGGGCTCTCGGCTCCCAGAGCGCAGCATCACCTGGCAGCCTGGCTCCCTGGAGCCCGTGGTGCAGATTTGGACCTTGTAGATGAAGAAGGAGGAGTACTCGGGTATGGGGGGCTCCCAGTGCACCCACAGCTGCCCCGCAGCCCCGGCCCCAACGGCTGTGATGTTCGCTGGCAGGGAGATGAGCCCTGGGAGGCAAATGCAGCTGCTGCAGGTCCTGGGGCAGCCTGGGGATCCTGGGCAGGGCCATGGCCCCACGCTGCCCCCACTGCCATGGACAGCTGCTGAGCATGGGCACCATGGCCCTGCCTGAGGCTAGCAGCAGAGGGGGCCTGGGCACAAGCTGGGCAGCTGCTCCCCTGTGCATGGCCTGCGCAGGCCCTGCATGGACACCCCATCCGAGCCTCGCTGCGCACCCGCAGCACCCCCATCCCTGGGCAGCCCCGACTGAGGCAGCCACGTCCTCGCTGGGGCAGCGCTGCCCCCCCTGCTGGCCCAGCACCCCCGCAGGGGCAGGGGCAGGGGCAGGGCTGTGTTATTGGCTTCCTAGTGCTGATGACCCGAGCCCTGTGTGGCCCCGCCAGAGGGCTGCCCACAGGAGAGTGGGCTCCCGCAGCCCTGGGAGCGGGGCTGCGGGCAGGGCCTGGGGGCACCGGCACCTGGATGCGGGCACCGGGTGGACTTACCCATGTCTTCCACGTTGAGCTTGCGGGTGCGCACAGTGCAGTTGTTGGCCATGTCCACGACACGGAGGCAGAGCTCGGTGAAGAGCCGCACGTCCTGGCTGGGGAAGACGCAGATGTGGCGCCAACCCCCGTCCTGCAGCTGCTGCGTGACCAGCATACACTCCCGGGCTCCTTCCCTGGTGGGGTTAAGGTCAGGGGGGGCTGCCCTATGGAGCGGGTGCAGGATCCATCTCCCCTGCCCCAGGCTCATGGTCAGGACGGGAGAGAGCAGTGCCCCATGCAGGAGGTGCTGGAGCAGGCCCTCACCCCCAGCGCCCGGGGCTGCCCCATGTGTCACCCAAGATTACCCGCCTTGGGGGACACCTGCCCCTGGCCCATCCTATGGGGTGGGCAAGGGCAAGTGCACCACAGAGCGAGGCCGAGACACCACAGGGATGGGCATGGGGGAGCCCCAGGGTCATGGGGGGAGGTGGGCTGGGGAGGGCACGCTGCTGCCAGGGAGCCCAGTCCCAGCGGGCAGAGCCAGGGGGAGCCTGGGTTGGTGGAGGGGCATCGCTGACCCCAGGGGGGATGGGGCAGGGAAGGGGCAGCAGGGGAGTCTCAGCAGGTGGCTGCCCCCCGCCCAGCGAGCAGCCGGGGCCTGCCTTACGTGCTGTAGTGGTAGTAGAAGCGGAAGGTGGCATTCCCACGCTCATCCCAGAAGCAGGTGAAGTCCTCGAAGGAGCGGGAGAAGCAGCGGATGCTCTTGGGCACCTCGGGCAGGAGGGCGGCGTCTGCAGGGCAGAAAGCGTGGGAGCTGCGGGGGCAGGGCCTGCGCCCCCACCCTGCAGGGCAGCGCTGGGGCGGTGCTTGGCTTGGGCAGGCCGTGGGACCCCTGTGCATGGGCAACGAGTGGCATCGTAGCCTGGAGCAGCATCGAGGTGCTCAGCCCCAGGCCCAGCTGGATGCAGGGCTCAGCTGTGCCCTGGTTTGGGCCTGTCAGTTCCCTCCCGGGGGTCTCCCTGCAGCCGGGACTGCGGTCCCTGCAGTGCTGTGCCCAGCTCCTCATGCTCAGGCTTTAGCTTGCCAGGTCCTGCATGCGGTGGCTGGTCTCGCTTGTCCTGCCAGGCCATGCACACCGTGTGGTTCCCATGCAGACCAGAGCTGTAACCCCTGGCATCTCTGCCCCCACATGAGCAGGACCTCGGTTCTGCCCGGGCTGCTCCATCCCCCGGCACATGGTGCGTGCGTGAGGGAGTACGTCCAGGGCAAACACACCCCAAAATAGCCCTGCGGTTGGCTGTGGCTCCAGCCGGCCCCAGCACGGCGGGAAGCACAGCCGCCCGGCGATAGCACTCCTTGCAGAAAGCCAGGAAGCAAGATAAGGCAAGCGGCCCCGGCAGCCCCTCGCGGCCCCTGGCCCAGGGGAGCG